AGACAGCTTCCACAAACAATTATGTCCCCACCGAAAGTCCGCAATCCACGCTTAACAAAGATACTAGCATGTTTACAGAAACGATTAATTACGTCAACCATAATGAAGGGAAAAGGAGTACACTCCAAACCAACTAGTATTATTTTGCTAATAAAAAGTCATCAGCAAGAATGCAGCGCAGCCATGACAACACAGGCATGGACAAAGCAGGCATACTGCCAAATGTATTGAGCTCGATTGGATACACCACTTTTCCTTCATTCACCGACCTTTTCACTGCTGAACTTAGGGTCTTCCTTTGGAGAATCCACTATTTTGGTTTCAGTATTGGTTCCTACAGGAGCAGATGAACTGCCTTCAGAAGCAACGGAATTTTCGGGCAGTTTTCCACCAGGTTTTTGGGTGTCTTCTGAATCCTCACAAGCAGTGGTGTTAGAGTTTCCGGGCAGTTCTCCAGGATTTTGAACAGCTTTCACCCCGTCATGGTTGGTGGTTTCAGAGTTTTCAAGCTGTTGGACTCCAGACTTTTGAGAACCTTCCAAGTCTTCATACCTGGAAATGACTTGTTGAAGTTCTTCGTGAAGAAATAGAGCCTCAAAGAGCATCCCTTCATCATCAGTAGTGGTTTCTATAATCCTCTTAATAACAGGCTGAGACTCCTTGCACTTGTCCAGCATGTTCAGGGTTAGTTCTTCCTGCAATCAAACTCTATTAGCTTAAATGTCTTCTGCCTACAAGCTGACCTTGGGATTAGGTAAAAAGTGAAAGAACAAAAGTTATAGCAAAAAGTCAAATGCTTCCTATATGAACTATCATTGCGCATCTATATAATCATAAAGGAAAGGAAGATGCACAAACAGCCATGTACTTGTACGCTCGTGCACAAACACACCCACAGTCGTGAGTCATGTACTTGTACCCTAGGTCCCAAAACATTTCTATATTCTTTATATATTAGAAAGAGGTTAGTTGTTCGTTTATAATACACATGCATATTGTCGTTCATCAAATAATTGTATCAAAGTATTACAGAGTGAATACAAGGTGATACGTGGATGCTTAAGAATAGAAATATGACATCTGTTAAGGAAGTGATGCACTTAGTTGTACTTGTAACTTGAGAAAGAATTGATTCCAGAAAGATTAATAAATCAACAGGAATATGCTCAACTTCAAGAGTTTTGGACAAAAATTATAAAATTCAGATATAGTATTGCTCTCCGCTAAGAAGTAAGAAACATACCTTCAAAGGTTTCGGATCAGTTTCAGTATTTAAAATACTAGACAGCAGCTCAAGGCTATTGCGAGCTACAACAAGAAACTCCCTTTTTTCTTCAACTGCTAGGCTTTGATAATTAAAGGCGAAATCATTATGATTTGCTCCATGCAATCCTGTGTCAGGTACAGGGTATCTTTCAGGGGGAGACAGCGGCTCGTGAACATATGATTCCAAGGTAGACTGCATCGAGGGTGAAGTCCCTTCTTGTGCTAAAGGATTGGTGCTTCTTTCTCTCAAGCTCTGCATAACACCCAGAAAAGAAGTTGGATATCAGAGTCTCTTAAATGCATGAAAACCAGCATTGCTAAAAACACAAAACAAGGTACCCCAGTCAACACATCCGGGCATGCCAAAATTAACAGCTGAATGGGCAAGGCAGTTGAACTTGAACATGACTGGAAAATTTGTAACTGGACAACAGTTTCTGGTTTAAAACCTTAGAGGATTACTACAGAATACTCAAGGGCCAAACAAAGCTTAAGAAAAACTCTCCTTTATTTTTTCAGTAGAAAACAGTTAGATAGATCAAATGCTCAAACAGATGCAAGTTCGAAACTCTTGATTAAAATGACACAAACACATGATTAAATGCTTTATATCAGATATAAAGAGGGCTCACCATGTAAGCTTGACGAAATACAGGTAGATATGCAAGCTCCTCAGACTCTCCCCAAGCCCTAATCAATTGCATAGCCCTTTGTCTATTTTCGGCATCTGTTTGTGGATTCTCAATCATCCTAAGCATCTCATCCAACACCTTCTCCGACGCAACCTCGGAGAACACCTTCTCGCAATTCATAGCACAAGTCTCCAACAAGTCAAGACTCAACCTCTGGCTCACCACATTCTTGCCCGAAATCTTCTTCTTTATGGCCCTAACGACTTCGGACCCACTAAACTCTTCACTATTGATCATTGCACATATCCTCAAATTCATACCCCAATTTGGCTCCTCCAAGGTCTCCAATGTGGCCTCATCGATCATCTTCGATTCGGGGGTAGGGGTTTGCAGAATTTCCTTCACTTTACCACTAACCATTCGACCCATTTGAGCTCCACCTATCTTTAACCTCTCACCCAATTGAGCTAGATTCAACTTGTCCATTATGCTTGTCAGTCTCTTCAAGTTTGGATAAATACAAATTTACACACCTAATTTCGACAAATAAATACATAAAACAGTACAGTATTTTCAGTCTCATTATAACTCATAATTGAAGCAATTGAACAGTAAACATGGAATAAATTGTAGCTGCATATAAAAATATATATCAAATTCCAAAACAGATGTATTTGGCTGCTGATTGATCCATAATAAACGCGAAAACAAAACAGATTAATGAAATTGATGAGCAGCTGAAAAATCTGGCAAACCTGTTGTGAAGTTGGGGCTGGCGGAGAATGAAACTGTGGAAGTTGCAGGGTCTGCGTAGAGCGTGAGGCCTCGAGAAAGAGAATCGGAGGCTTTTTGAGGTGAAATGGCCTTGAGCTTAAAGCTCTGACCTTTCAGAGAGAGAGAGAGAGATAGATGGGGATGGTCAAAACTGAAAACAAAGATAATGCGTGGCGTGGCGCAAATAGAATAATCAAAACAGGGATTTTTTCACTGCTTTTGGTTCGCGGCCTCGTGGATTTTGGTGGGTTATTTTGCCACGTGGCTTTTGTTTTTGGGGTCAAGGCAGTTAGTTGGAACTTGGATTATGGATATAAGCTTTGACCCCCAACAATAAGAAAAAAAATTTAAAAAAAATTTGGATGTATCTTTGCATGAATCGCATTAGAGATGACTTGCTCCTCTCAACGAATTTCTGTTGCATGCAAATTGCAATTAGTTGTATGCAATTTTGTTTATATATCTCTCTCATCATGTGAAAGATATAAGTCGAGCAACTTGATAGGTTAAGAGCATCTTTAATAATAGTAATAAATTAAATCATTCAAATTAAAGTTTGTTGATTTATATAGTAATTTAAAAAAGTTTATTTACTACTTTAATAATTTTTGCTTCAACAGATTTTTCAATTCTAATGGACATGGAAAATAATTAAATATATGAAAATATGTGAAAAATGTCTATATATTTATTATATGAAAATAAAAAAATGCATGTTTTTAACATTTTCAAGTAGGTTTTGTTTTTCTATAGTAAAATTAAATGTTTTGTGATTTTATTGGCACCCCATTATTTGCTCTTTGAAGAGACAATGTCAACTTACCAATTCTGTTGAGAGAGGAAGATGTTGCAACTTTGATGATTGAGTTTGACAAGGCTGTTAAATAGACTTTTTATGATGTGGCTCACTTATTTGAGCATTCTAAAGTTATTGAATAGACTAGATGCTCTAAAAGATATGAACTGAGACTCTTATCAAATTTCAACTTATGAATACATGATCAAACAAAACAAACTTAATCTGCAAATGATTGTTCGAACTCATGATAAGGTTTGACCTTTCTTAGTTATGCAAAATAATTGGATTTAACTCAAAATGTAGGTTCAAATAGTGGTGCATGAACTCATAACCCATTATCGACCAAAAAAAAGAACTCAACCCACAAGTTTAACCAAATTACATGACTTAGAGATCTGATAAAGTGTAAAGATACAATTAAGGTGAAGGCTTTTAAGCCTAGCAAGCCACATATATTGGTGAGGGCAAATACAAATTAAACACTGATTGATGGTTGTAGATTTGAGGATGGTGTCGTTGGCTTGGTGGCTTATCTGCAAACATGGGCTTTGGGCAAGTTCTACTAGCTGAATTGTGGGCTTTTTACCATGAAATTATTTTGACATGCCATAGGGAATGTTTCCCACTTGATATTGAATATGATTCTCAAATTGTTGTGCAAATGCTTTCTTCAGAGTTGGAGGAAGAGCATCCATTCCATTCTATAGTTTGGTGACTAGCTGTCAGAAGATGCTTAGGTCCAAAGACTGCAGTATTTCTCATAAATATAGAGAAGAAAATTGCCTTGCGGATAAATTGACATCTATGAGCTCCAAACTAGATTTTGGGTGTAGATTTTGGGAGAGTGTGCTGAAGGGTTTGGATATTATCTACCGGAAGATTTGAATGAGGTTGGTAGACCCAAAAGTTTGTTTATGTAGTGTTGTTATTGAGCTTTGGCTCCCTTAGAACCCCCCAAAAAAAACACATAACTTAAGTTTTTTTTTTCCTCATAGTTTAGCCAAGTTGGCTAAAACAGTTGTGCTCCTCATTGTGCACCCAAGTTCGAATCCCCCTCTTCATATTTTAGATTAGATTAAAGTAGCATATCGTTTGTATATAAACTAAAATATTATTTTCCCAAGACCTAACATATTTATATATAAGTAATATTTACTTTAAGGGCAGTACACATTATTTTAATGTAACTATGGTTTAGTTTTTAATCTCAACGAGTAATTAAAATTCAAAGTGTCTAGGTTTGAGATTGGATGAAGATTTCTCAAGTGACAAGGACCATCAATTCGAGCTTAATTCAAATTTATTTTGGTTAGTAAATTTTCAAGTCATGCTTTATAAATCATTAACGTGAGCTCAAATTTGGAGTTGAGTTTAACCCATCAAAATTGCACCTTGTGAGAATGGTCTCTCCAGGATTTGTGAACGGCATGTCGTGCAATGTATCAGTGTGGAAACTACATGTCGTTTTCTATCGCCACAATATCATCAGAACATTAATGTGATTAAACATTCAACACCTACATCATCGTTAAAAATTGCGATTTGCGAAAGCCCACGAGAGCAAAATAATAAGGCGATAAATTTTTAGGGGTTTAAGAAAAGCAAAGGGAAATGCCCAAAATTGCAGCTTGACACGTATATCGTACCACAACAACGACGACGACAAGTTAAGCTGCAGCCTGCAGGTGGTCTCTTTCGCGATGGTTTCCCTCCCAACCTGGTTCCGGTACATAGTCCACAAGCTCGAATACTCGGCCACTATCAGCTGGAAGGTCCACTTTTCTCAGCTCCATTATCACTCTTACCCATTTGCCGATATTGTCATTTTTGCTTTGATTTTTCCGCTTATGGGTTTTGTTTTTTGGATTGCTGCCTGCGATGAAAAGGTTAAAGTTGTGAACTTTGGTTTTGGGGATTTTGTGTTTTGGGAAATAATGGGCCTCATGGGATTTTTGAGAATCATATTATGTGATGGTGTTTTCTCTGTGTTGAAATGTTGCCGTAGATAAGGGTTTGGTTGTTTCATTTTCTTAGTAATTTCATGGGTATTCTCAATGCCGTTGTTATATATTTGTTCTCAGTTTCAATTTTGTTTCCTTAGGAATTGGTGTTGTATAAATATTTATCGTGTTATATTGCTATATGGGTCAGAGAGTGTGTTGGATTAGTGGTAGTTTCGAAAATGCATTTTTTGACATGCTTAGTTCAGCTTGAAAATTGCTATGTTTGGCATTTCTTAAGGCGTTCAAAAAGCTGGAGAAAGATCACCAAGAGATATTCAGTAATTTCCACTACTTTTGTTTACTGATTTATCAAAATAGGAGAAGCTAAAGTTAGTTTTGTAGCTATGCTAACAATTAGGAACACTATATGCTAACAATTAGTACTCAAAACATGAGATACGTGCTAGTACACTGCACTTTTGTTGTGTCTCTCTTGGAAGTTAAAGCTCAAGGTGAAACTGGGGATCCATTTGTCTCCCTCAAAGTTTTTCATGTGCAACTTGTTGCGAGCCAGATATGTAATATAAGCAATCCTTTCGTAAGTCGGTGTTACTATTTAGTAGCAGAATTGGCTAGCTCATCTGATGGCTTATATGGTCAATTAACATTTAGTTTCCTTCCAGTTCTCCTGCAATCGTAATGGTACTTTTCGTGCTTTCCATTCACCCAGGTTATGGTTAAGTCAGTGAAAACTGTATAAATGAGTTTTCTTTTTGCTTGTTCCTTAAGTTTTTATGACAGAAATTTGCATGTGATGCAGAACTATCAAGGAGGTCAAATCACGGACAGAGAACTACGTGATGCTGTTTGGAAAAATCTATTTCAGGGAAAGTTAACGTACTTGCATTGGAATAAAGGAGAGGAGATGGCCCCTAGTATAGGTGCGCAAGGGGGTACTCTTCTTGTTCGGAAGATACCAGCTGCAGACCCAAGGTAGTCATCATTTTATACGTCCTCTCTTCTTTTTGCGAGTTAGATTTCCTCTTTCTGTGAGTTTTTGTTCTTGAGTGTAAATATTATTATTCCAAAAGTTACTCTCAGGACCAGTTTAGCATTTTCATATAATGATCTTAGATATTTCATTGTGCATGTTAAATAACAAAAGCGTTGTTGAGTTGTTGACCAAGCTTAGCTTCTTATGAGGGACTGCAAATGGTAGTGGGTTTAATATGTGGACATGTGATTTCAAAAATGCCTTAAGAAACTTGGGGATAGTATGGATTACTTGAGCAGTTAGGGCATTTTTCTTTAAGATTTATAACCTTTTCAATTTAGGTGCAGTTTAGGAAAATGACCGTCCACTTTGACTTCAGTTGGTCATAAACCGCTCTGTGAACCATTTTGGGTTGGCAGTGCCGTCTTTTTCCAGCGATACACAAAAATTGAACTTGATGCATATGAATATGTATGATCATGGATTGTTTGCTCTCATTGAGTCTCTCTATATATTGTTAAAAAGCAGACCCATGTGCCTGTATTATCTCAAAAGCTTTTATTCAACATGTGCTTTAAATTCTCAAATGGTTTTGGTGATAAGCTTTATGGTGCTTAATCACGTTGTGTACTCCCAAAGACACTGAGCAGAGCTCCTTCCAGTTTAATCGTTACCTTTGTTATTTATTTACAGATATTGATACCTCTATGAGAAACACTTTCATATTCCTTTTCATATTGATTTATGCGATCTTATGGTTCCCTAACAGCTCAATTGACATCCTCATATTTATCTGACAGGCGTGTTTTTGTTGGGGATGTAGTGGTCTTGAAGGACCCTGAGAAGGCAGATAATTATCTGGTGAGAAGATTGGCTGCAATTGAAGGGTATGAAATGTTGTCTACTGATGAAAAGGATGAGCCTTTTGTTCTTGAAAAGGATGAATGCTGGGTGTTGGCTGATAATGAAAGTTTGAAGCCCAAGGTACATGCAATATTTGGAAATTTGATAATTATGTTCAGACAAATGTATCAAATATATTTGCTGGGTTACTACACATTTACTTTATGAGTCTATCCACATTTTCTTTTTATGTTTTATTATTTGGAATTAGCCATAGCACAGCAGCCAAGTGTACTGCCATCTTTACATTAATATGTAATGCTCAATAGGTTGCGGGTAATTTTTTATCGCCGTCTAGTGGGTTGTAACATCTATCAAATCCTTAATAATACTCTGTCATGAGCTATAGTTAAGCAATACAAATTAGAAAGCTTTAAGAAATATTATGGAAATGGCGAAATAGTATCAGGTTATAGGAAACTACTGGAAATAAAAGACAGTATTTATGCATGGGTAAAAATAAACGTATCCAATGATTACTTGAATATGTTGTACTAATTAAAGATGGATATATCACAATTACCTAGAGTCATAAACATGCGAGACATACATCAAATAATCAGTTATAGTTCCATAATCTCTTGTTTATATGCCTTATAGTTCCATAATCAGTCATAAGCATTTCCCTTATATGCCTCATTGTTTGATATATTATAACTTTGAGATATGCACGCAATGGCTACGATCAACAATGGCATTTTCCATATTGCATTACTTGAATATTTGGGCACAAATGGATTAACCTTCATTCTTATTTCTGGCAGGAAGCCAATGACAGTCGGAAATTTGGGCCGGTTTCCATGACAGACATAGTTGGCAGAGTCATATATTGCCTACGAACAGCTGTGGATCATGGCCCTGTGCAGAACAGGCGAGTTACTCAAACTGAAACTGCTTAACTCATCTTTGTTATATATGAGGAGAAGTTCTGTAGTGATTAATATTTGTGTTTCTTATGTTCTTTGTCCAGTCATTCCAGCATGCGGAAGGATACACCAGTGCTGCAAGTTGAATTGGATGTCGATGAGATGGCAAAAAATCACAAAGCCTGACTGAAGTATGCCCTTATAAAGCAATGACTCATTTGGTTGTAACTATCTTCCTCCCAATTTCTCAATTTTTTTTCTTTCTTTTCTTCTCCCTGTTTCAAGTACAAGAAGAAAAATAAAGATGGAATTTCAAGTTCTTGAGTCATGGGATGGTTGTACGTTTATGGTGGCTGTTCAGGTACTCATTCTTCAGTAATGGTGCCTTATGTTTTTGCTGAAGAATATGAAGCGATCTGTAAGGAACTTGAGTTCAGAACGGTATTTTTGTTTTGATAAGTTTAGAAGAGCACTGTACTCCAAAAAACTACCCAAGAAAAGAAGAAATCCAGATGTTGTCAAGTTTTTGGACTTATATTTGAATCCTTGGCATGTCCTTAGTTTCATGCATTGTTTGAGGTTGCTTGACCCTAATGTTTCTAAAAATGCCATTCATGCTCTATTTTCGCTGCAACTAACACACAGCGAATTGAAAGAAACTGTCATGGTAACAGACCAAGTTTCATGCATTGTTTGAGGTTGCTTGACCCTAATGTTTCTAAAAATGCCATTCATGCTCTATTTTCGCTGCAACTAACACACAGCGAATTGAAAGAAACTGTCATGGTAACAGACCAAGTTTCATGCATTGTTTGAGGTTGCTTGACCCTAATGTTTCTAAAAATGCCATTCATGCTCTATTTTCGCTGCAACTAACACACAGCGAATTGAAAGAAACTGTCATAGTAACAGACCGAGTTTTTATGTCGGGTTTTTGAGGTGGGAGATGTCATGCAATTGCAAACCTGCTCTGTTGCCTTGTATTTAAGCATGATGCTTCCAACTTCCAATTTACTTCTCATAAACATGAGCTTCATATACCTTCACCGCGCTAAACGGTCGTCTCCGATGCAACATGTTCCTTGCATCAGTAGCTTGATTTCATGTAAAAGAAACCATGTCAATGTAAGGCAAGGTGAAAAATCGTAATATGGTAATTTACTAAAACTTTTTTGTGCTGTTGATGATCATTGATGGCCAATGCCTCTTTCTTCTTTGACCCCAAAAACAAAGAAGACTAAAAGAAGATAAACTACAGCTTTATTATTTATAATTTAATTACATTTCTCTTACAAGTTTAGTAATTAATTAAATTTTACTCCGTCAGCAAAAAAAGAAAAAGAAAACTTAATCAAATTACATAAGTGGGCCGGGTAACCCAACTGTCCTCAACAATCCCTTTTCCAATATGGGCCGAAGAGAGGTCATATAACCCGAGTCCCATCCAAAAGACTAAACCGCCCTCAAAACCTCAGAATCAAAATACCCAACGAGTCCCTTATCAATGGCTATAGCTTATAGGGTTTAGCAAGCAAACTGACACTAAGCAAAGCAAGCACAAGAGAAAATGCAAAACCACCATTGACGACTGAGCTGAGCACACTCCTTCTCAGTCATTTACCCACGTAGCAATGTTACAAGGCGTCCATATAATCGGTAAGTTTCTTATAAAACGAAAGGGTATGGAAAATTTTGTGCCTCAGTGTTCGAATATTCGTAGTTTTCGGTTCCCATTTTTTGAATTTTCTCACTCCTTCTATATAAAATTGCCTCGCATTTCCGTGAAAATTCGAGGCTCTTTTCATTTCTCCTCTGTTTTCTGAGATATGGGTCATTGGAATTGTGATTGATTTCGTCCGTATTTTGTGTAGAAATGGAAGTATTCAAGTTTTTTTTTTCTTTCAAATTTAAGAGTTCCCCACCATGTGTTTGCTGAAATGATTTTATATAAATAGAACCTGCATATAACGAGAGAGAGAGAGAGAGAGTAGCTGGCTTGACTTTTAAATTTAATTCTGGTACTTGGTTTGATCTGCGTTTGTTGCTTGTCTGTTGCCTTGCCACATTTTTTGTGATTTGTATGTTGTTCAGTTTTACTGATTACTTCTAGCTGAATTTGAGTGCTAAGGAAGAACTTAGTTGTAAGGTTTGGGTTTCCATTTCCTTTGTTAGGTTTCATTTAACTTAACTTTGCAACTATAGTTCTCTAAATAGTAAATCTTTATATCAGTTTGTTTTGAACGAGGAGCATAAGATCAGTATGGTGCGTGGGGGATGTTTGTCTATGTGGTATAAGATTGGTTTCCTATGAAAATGTTTCGAAGTATGACTCTGTGAATGGGGGTTGCACATATTGCTCAGAGCTTTCATTTTCATAATTATGCTTTTTGCATTGTGATTTTTGGATAATGATGGTTTTCTTCCAGGTTATGGACCATCAGATGGAAAATGCCTTCCGTGTTCAGGAATTTCTGGAAGAGTAGCCCCTGCATATCCTTGCTCTTCTCGTTTCAACCATAGATTCAAGTCACAGGTGAGGATTGGATCACCGAAAGGTGCTTACAAGGGGGTATCTTTTACGTGCAGAGCAAGTTCTAGTGGACGTAATAGAAATCCAGACTTCCCAAGGCAAAACAGACATGGGTACTCCCGGGGCAGAAATAGGAAAAATGACGATAGAGATGGATTTGAAAACCTTGAAGAATCTGATCTGCTGTCTTCTAAAAATGGGCCACTGGTCTCCCTCTCCAGTGGCACGAAGTTCGGGGCTACTGCAGCCCCTGGACCTAGGGAAAAAGAGATTGTTGAGCTGTTCAGGAAGGTCCAGGCTCAACTTCGGGAGAGAAGTGCAGTTAAAGAAGAAAAGAAGGCTGAAGCCTTGCAAGGGCAAGGAAAAGAGAATGAAACTGTGGATTCTCTCCTTAAGCTATTAAGGAAACACTCGGTTGAGCAAGCTAAAAGAACCAACAGCAGTGGCAGCAACAAGGACTTCATGTTGGACCAGCCAGAAAAGAATGCTCGATATAGTGAAAGGAAAAGCACAACTTCTTTTGATTCAAATAACAGTTTGAAGGATGAGGTTGAAGAACCTAATGCCTCTTTTAGCAGGCCTGCATCGAATTTTCAACGCAAGTCTCCCATCCCTCGGTTGACATACCAGCCCATTTATTCAGAGGATGACCACATAGGCAATTCGGTGCCACATGTGAATTCAATTGGGAAGAGAAAGAAGAATCATGTTGAGAGAGTTCCTGAGCCAGAGCCAGAACCAAAGCAAGAGCCTGAGCTTGAGTTGGAGTCAGAACTTGAGCATGAGGCTGTGGTCGATGCTGAGTTTGAATTCGAGCCTGAACCCGAGCCCGAGCCAGAGCTTGTTCAGTTGTTAGAGGAAGAGACTTCAGGTCCTGAAGAAACTCTTAATTTCGATGATGAAAACGGTGAGAAACTGCAACTTATCGAACATAAGAATTTGAGTGCATTGAAGCTACCAGAATTAAGAGCACTTGCGAAGTCTCAAGGTGTAAAAGGGTTTTCAAAGATGAAGAAGGGTGAGCTTGTGGAGTTGCTAAGTGGGAGCTCAGTTTGACTCATAATGCACGGGATGCAAACTTTGACATTTTAACATAGTTGCGAACTTGCGAGATTTTTGTTTTGTTTTGTTTTTTCCAGTTTTTGGGGTCTTTTTGGATCAAAGGCGGGTCTCACTACAATGGGATTCATCATCTTTTTGTTGTAGAAAATTTTCGTTTAGATCAAACGTGGTTAGATTCGGTTTGCGTGTAGCCTAGCGGATGCTCTAAAACTGGTGAACTAGTTCAAGTATCGAATTGGCATTGTATTCTACTCAAACTATAACTTGTTGGTCTCTTTTGGTCACCAAAAGAAAGTTTATACTGGAAAATTTTTGTCAAATTTTTCCTTGTTTGTTATACTTTCAAGAATTTTGTTTCACTTTTCTCCCTTCAACAGCATGCCTTCATATTGAAATATTTAGCAATCATCAGATATGAAAAGAAAGAAAAGTACTCGCAAAATAGTTTTTCATACCAATTGGCAAGTGGTGTTCAAGTGAAATTATCTGAAACCTGAGGGGGCTTTCTGAAATTTCCCACTTATCCCACAATTTTCCCACCCTACCCCTTCTCAAAAATTACACACAGATAAGATAAGGTGAGTCCGAAAAACAGACGCTTCCTCCTCTGTCTTTCTCATTCTCTTCAGCAATGGAAGCCACTCTCTTCAGCTTCCCTTCCTCCAAACCCCCTTCACCTTCCCTAACCCAAACCCAGTCCAAAACCCTTCTGACCCGACCCACCAACCCATTTCTCTCCCTCACCCCCCGACCCACCCGCCACCACCACCGCCTGCTCACAATCCGATCCGCCATCTCCCGCACCAAGAAAGAACAGACCGTCGAAACCATCAAAGAGAATCTCGAGAACTGCCATCTCTTGGCCGGCATCAAATACAAAGGCCTCACCGTGAAGCAATTTCAAGACCTCCGCAAAGTCCTACCCGAGACCACAAAGCTCATTGTGGCCAAGAACACTCTGGTCTACAAAGCCATAGAGGGAACGCCATGGGAGGCTCTCAAGCCCTGCATGACCGGCATGAACGCTTGGCTCTTTGTCCACAGCGAAGAAATCCCACCTGCCATTAAGCCTTACAGGGACTTTCAGAAGGAGAAGAAGCTCGACAGCAATGACTTCACCGGTGCTGTGTTTGAAGGCAAGTTTTATGCGCCTGAGGATTTTAAGCAGCTCGAGACAATGCCAACGAGGGCTGAGATTTATGCTAAGTTGCTCGGGACGTTGAATAGTCCGGCGTCGAGCTTGGTCGGGACAATACAGGCGCCGGCGAGGGAGTTGGTCATGCTTTTGAAGGCTTATGTGCAGAAATTGGAGGAGGAGAGCGGTGGTGGGCAATAGTGATATGATAGTGGAGAAGTAGTAAGTGTATCTTGAAGACCCAACTGTTGTTTTTTTGTTGTTCTTGTGTTGTTGTAGTACAATGCGTTTTTATATTTGTTGACATTCAAGGAATGATGAGTTGTAGATTTGTGTACAATTGGAGCTTTAGTAAGCATTGATCTTGAATTTTATGGCTATCTGTGCACAATGTATGTGCATTGTTGCTGTTTACTTATATTAAGAATGCTCAATGCCTAAAGATCAGTTTTTGCACCTGTGTAACTCAGATACAACAGCAAGGTTGATACTTGATATCATGGGCTCATGAAATTTACAGTTGAATTCTTTCAACTTCATTTGTAGTTTTAATAATAGATGAGATAGCAAAGTTTCCCCCACCAGTGTAGTCGACGTTAGAACTCCATTTGGTTGGATAGAAGGATGTAGTTCGGAAGGAGAAATAGGATGGAGGGGATGAAAACTACTTATCATCTTCAACTTATAGCTTTCCTCTAGTTACCTCCCCATCTTAGCTTGGGAGACCCTTCTTTTCCTCGAGTTTGTTATCTCCCTTTTTCTTCCCTCCTGCTTCCTGGCTAGCAAATTAGTGTTGAGGCCTGGTAGCAACAAATGGATTTGGTGATAAACTGCTTTGAGAATATGGAGAACTGTCTTCTTGTCATTTGTGTGATGACTGGAGTGGCTTGGAAAGAGAGCATACTGTGAAGTAAGCCTACTAGTCGTGACAATTTTTTAAGATAAGAGCTGTGATTTTGCATATTTCCTTAACTGCAGTTGCTCCTTATTAAAAGCTAAAAATTTAACAGTCATAAAAAGTAAACAAAAAATGAGTACTATATTGGAAACTACCCGCTACCTTCTCAAGTGGTAACATCTGGAAGAAAACCTTCTTTTATATGTGGTGTATGGTAATGATCTATGAGAATACGATGAATTAGTCTGCAATGATTCATTCTGAAATATTTGAGCTTGGCTATTGGTAATGTGAATCTAATCTCGCCGCCTTTGCTTGAGAACCTCAACCCAAGCTTCAAATATTTTTTGTTTTCTTGGGCTCTTCTGCTTTTTTCCTTTTGGCTTGAAATTTGTGAGGTCTTTTGAAATTGTAAGTTGATGGGCCAAAATCTTGATTCAATGAGCCAACAATGTTCCAACGCTTGCTACTCTATGAGATTGTCAACACCAGCAATGTGGAAGCTATTAAAGCTCTTTGCAGAGAAGGTGCTAGCCTCAAGGTAATAAACTGGTAATACTAACACAGCTCCTTCTCAACCTCTTTGGTGTTATTCTTTATATATCTTTTTCTTATAATCTTGATGGGTTAGCAACATGCTAGCTTGAAGCTTTTTATAATTTGAGGAGGTTCTGGTAAAGAACTTCTCCCTCACATGTCAACCAATCTATGATACCATTAGTAGCTGAGTACAATCCTGCCATTGTTTATCGTTTGATTCTTTCTATGGCTAAATTGAGTTCCTTTTCTCATAAAATATATGGGTGGATTTCATTGTTCTTGGTTGATAATTAGGTTGCTAAACTGTATGATTGCGTCATTCTGTTTGCTTATGTTGAGAAAGTTCAGACCTGGGTTATATCTCCAACTGATTGATGTTTCCAAAACTATATTTTTTATCAGAACCCAAGCTTGCAGGGTAATGTGGGTGACGAACTTAAACTTAATTAGTTATGCAATTGCATGCAGAGAGATCCCTTAGGTGCCCTGTTAAGGAGTGCATATAGATTTTAGTTATATTTTTTATCTGGATGCATTTTGATTGAGTTTTCATGTCATAAATTGTTCACATGCAGATATTTGAAATTTGCTGGTCGGGGTAATTGCTGAAAGATACAACCTGTTCTTCACGCTTTCAGGTTATGCCTTCTCCAGTGCCTTATTACACCCAAACTTCTGTAGAAGCTGCTCCAGAAGAACATGTGAAATTAGTAATAGCATTAAGTACTTCCATGGAGTCCACTGCAGTGGATATACAATTACTTCCTAATTCTGACCGGATCTATGAAGCAATTAACAAATGGTTGGGGAAGCTCTGCTGATAATAATACCAGCTATTATAATGGGTGGGGGCTAGTTGATGGACTAGTTGTTGGAACAACACATCCAGAGGCTACAAGCAGTGGATGCATGAATGAACCAGGGAAAGGGGACTACAGAGGATGGAGTCTGTGTGATTCTATGCCAGTTAACAATTCAGCTAGACATGCCCAAACGGTAGCAATATCACATATGTTTCGTCAGCTCCTTCTGATGCACCTATTTGGAAGGAGGTTTTGGTCAAGGGCCAATCATTTATCCAAACATCTCTTTCAGTCTGGTAGACTTTTGTATTTCATCCATAAAATGATGGAGCTTCTGTATCCAATGATATGAAAGATGCAGGTGATTCTTCCTCCTGCATAATATATTGGCAAACTGCAACAGAAAGTGACACCGTTTTCAGTTGTACAAAGTAGGAAGGGCAGTGACTATTTATTGAGGATTAATTATACTTTCCTTCTTTTTCCTTAAAATGTTATTGCAACTACAGAGTATGTAAAATAACCATTGTAATCATAGCAATTTGTTGCCTTAAAGATATTTGCACTGAAAGGTTTGGTTTTCAAATGAGGCACAGTTCCTCTTTCTCGGTCATAGAAACTGGAGTTGACACTTGAAGATGGGGATGTGTATCTATCGAATATGGAGGGCAAATGAAGTAATGGCAAGGTCAAATGTTGTTTATTGTTTATGTTGAAAATAAAAGGTCAAATGTTTGTTTATTTTTGTATTGTGATGCGACTATTATTAGCAAGACTTGAAGGTGCCTCCAAAACTCAGTTTGTGCATTCTAATGGCATGAGAACCAGCAGCTCCAATTTCAATGACCCTACCCTACCTTCCATCAATGTGAAAACAGATGCACATGGCTTGCCTAATACAACTCTTCACAAAAGACAGATCTCCTTCAACTTATTTTGACTGTACAGAGCTGTATCAAGCATGCATCTTTTTGAATTGAGCTATAAAACACGGTCCTTTATACCAACTAGCTCTTAATTTAGTGATATTTTATTTCCCGAGAATCTAAGTTCAATTCCTCCATGCTTCATTGATAGTTTGATTATACTTGAAGTCTTATTTTGATTACAAAAATAGATTTAAAGTAATCTATGACATTGTTGGGAGAAAGAGGAGAGAGTAAACTTGGAATCTCAGACGACCCACTAGAAAAAAAGTCACAACCTAAACACAAGTCCTGTTAAAGTCATTTTTAGCTTTTCCCTAAAGTTTCATCATGTCCATTGCCCATATGGCCATATGGGGAAACAATCTTTAATTATTTTGTCCATTGAAAGTAGCAACATGCCAACATAGCGTGTACGGAAAATGCAGTTCTGCAATTTTAAAATCAGTTCGAGATTATGGAAAAAGGCACTCTTTACTTATAGGACAGGGCCTCACATGTTCAGCTTAATTAGCCTGTGATTTGTGAATTGTTAAGCAATGTTCTGTCTCAATCTTACTGAGAAATGCAGTACTGATCGAAGTGAATAAAATCATCTGTCAGGTTCTAATTGCTGGCTGGCAAGCATCTTCTTTCTCTAAGATATGTAAGGTTCTCTGATAATGCAGTAAGTTGGAAAATATTGACAAAAAGAATGGTTTTGTTTGTTTTCCAATTTTACAAAGCTTTTTATGTGCATATATGTATATATATTTACCATCAATCTTTATCACCCCTACAGCTATAGCTATGTCTATATCTGTATATAGATACACACAGTAAGGATGGTAAGTAGAGAGAGGGCCCAAATTAAGGTGTAAAGATGCCAACTATTATGAGATGTGGATGTAAATCTTTGTCCTTATTAGTAAGGGTTATGTTTCCCATATATAATTATAGAGAATGGTGATGAAAACATAATTGGAAATAGAAAATGACAGGAAGATAATTTACAGGCCAATGAAAAT